CGGGGGCGGAGGCGGCGGTAGGGGGGCGCTCACCATACGGACCCACACGGAACCTGGGGAACCCGCAGCCGCCCCGCCGGAGGCTGGAGCACCCGAGGGAGGGGACCGAGGGGGGGGAGGTACCGTGGGGAAACAGTGGGCCAACCGACGAATCGGGAGGCCGAGACCGGAGGGCCCCGGGTGAAACCTGGAGTCAACTGTCGAAGGGGGTGAGAGTTGGGCTGTCTCGGCCTCTGCGAGTGGGGTCGGGACATACGAGCCCGCCAGGGGTAGACCCGTCGCGGCGGCAGCTGGACCAACGTGACTTACGACGAGGGGGGCCATGCCGCCCCGAGCTCGACGAGGAGCCGGCGGAGGGGGGAGGCGAGCCGAGGACGATAGAGAGACCGCGGGTGCGAGCGCGATTCGTCGACCAGGGAGAGCCAACCCGATCCCCCGGGGAGGGGAGGCGACACGACCCAGTGCCGCCGCCCTCGCCCGGGGAGTCGGGCACGGGATCGCCGCCCGCCAACGGGATCAGGCAGAGAAGACGAGAACGGCGGCGGGGCCGCAGCCGAAAAGGGCTAGGAGGGGGGTCGGGGCCCGCGCCCGTCGCATAACTATCGGGATGCGAACAGAAGGAAGGACCGGGAGGAGGGGGAGGACACCCCGGAGTGAGAACAGGGCGACCACGGAGAGGGGTCCGGAGTGGTGAGACGCCGAGCTAGACGCCGAGTGTGGGTGGGCGTCGTGTCCGTGTCGAGTGTTTACTAGCTCCGAGTAGAGGGGGCGTTCTGCTGCTAGGGGAAACCCGGAGCGCGGAGCTAACCCTCGAAGACCGTGTTTACTTTACGGCCCTTTCCCTGCGAACGCGCACCCCCCAGGGCTAGGGCTCTCTAGCCGCAACCCGATGCCGATCATCCGGCCCGCTGGGTGCGCTTCTTAGCTCCCCGGCCCTGGATGTGAGGCTGATGACCGCACTCCAAGTGCTCCAAGTGCTCCTCTCTTCTTCAGCGAATGCAGCGGCAGCACCACGTCAGAGGCCGGGCCGACTGGCGGGCCTGCATGCCCAGCCATGCCCCCCACTGCCCCACTCCCCACCCGCTTGGATCGATCAGCTGACAGCTCCATCCACCAGCTCCCACCACCGCGTGTCGTGTCATGAAGCATGATAGATAAACATACGAGAATTGTATTGCAATACAACGCCGTCTCGCTGGAGGGCATCCGCTTGTGGGCGCAAGAGCGCGGCTTCGAGCTGCCGGCGCAGCCAGAGGACGAAGGCTGCGCTGTGCGGTGGCTGTGCTTCGCTGCGCTGCTACGCGAGTCCAACACCCGCCGGCGAGGGCGGCGGCGGCCCAATGGCACAGCCTCTTCATCGACGCGGAGGGGCGGCTCTGGTCGTGCGGCAAGGCTGAGAGCTGGCAGCCAGGCCTCATCGGCCACGGCGAGGGCGTGACGCGGCTCAAAACGCCGACCCGCCCCCCTTCTCCGCCAGCTGGGCCACGGCGACGCGCAGAGCCAGCTGCTGCCCAAGAAGGTCGAGGCCTTTGCTGGGCAGCGCGTCGTCGCTGTGTTGGACAGCACCACAGCCTCGCCATCACCGCCGACGGCGCTGTCTGGAGCTGGGGCGGTGGAGACTATGGCAAGCTGGGCCACGGCGACTCGCAGAACCAGCTGCTTCCCAAGAAGATCGAGGCTTTGGCTGCCCAGCGCGTTGTCACTGTGTCGGCTGGAGGTGCTCACAGCCTCGCCCTCACCGCCGACGGCGCCCTCTGGAGCTGGGGTCATGGAAGCCGAGGCCGGTTGGGCCACGGCGACCAGCAGATGCAGCTGCTGCCCAAGAAGGTCGAGGCCTTGGCTGGCCAGCGCGTCGTCGCTGTGTCGGCTGGCGCCGCGCACAGCCTCGCCCTCACCGCCGACGGCGCCGTCTGGAGCTGGGGCTGGGGAGGCAATGGCAAGCTGGGCCACGGCGACGACCGACGAGCAGCCTCAGCTGCTTCCCAAGAAGATCGAGGCCTTTGCGGGGCGGCGCGTTAACGCCGTGTCGGCTGGGCTGTACCGCAGCTTCGCCCTCACCGCCGACGGCGCCTTCTTTACCTGGGGCGGGGGCGACCACGGCTGCCTAGGCCACGGAGAGGACCTGTCAAACCTGCTGCTGCCCAAGAAGCGTCGATGCGACGTGGCCGCCGGGGCAGTGATGAGAAGGGCGAAAGGGTGCAACTGTGCGCGGGTGGGAGTGTTTATACGCTCATGCGCTGTGTTACGTGTTACGTGTTAGGACTTAGGTGTTACCGCGTTCCCCCCGAGGCGCATGCCGGTGCACCAATCGCAGAGCGTTGTGTTTTGCCTTTAAGACTTGAACAGTTTTTTTCTCCGTCTCGGAACTCGCGTGAACTTACGAACCTCGCAGGAACACCGCTCACCGCTCTCTCACACGGTTTCTCACACACGAGCGACACACAACTCGCGCTCAAACGCTAAAGGGCTAGGAACTGGGGGATAAACTACACCCGTATTGGGGCACCGGCGAAGCAGGCTGCCAGGCAGAATCAGGCGGGGGAAAGCGGCCGCCAACGAGCGGGTCGCCGCCAGCGGGTCGCAGGCACTACACGCGCCCAACGCTACACACCGCTTGGCTCTCCGCCCGCCGCCTCGCAGTACGCGCGCGCCGCCAACGCAGACCCCCCCCAGCGAGGATTGACTTTGCGGGTAGGGCACCCTGTCTGCCCCCGCGGCCGCCCTATACGCCTCGCCTCCCGAGCGCCGGCCAGTCGCCGACGGCGAGCGTGTCGAAGCCCTTGGCGACGGCGGCCGGCGTGGCTGGCGGCGAGAGCGCGGCCTTGCTGCGCCGCTTGGCTTCCCTCTCCTTCTTCGCGGCGGCGCCCTCCGTCTTGATCTGGAGCAGCGCCGCCGCCTGCCTCTCGGGCGGGAAGGAGCGGCAGTCCTAAGGTACAGGCAAGGTACACGTCTCCACACGCGCAAGGTGGTGGGGGGGAGGGGGGGAGGGGAGGGCAACCATGACTCCCCACCTAAAAGACATGAGAGGACGCAAGAGCCCGTGCGAGGGGTGGGCAATCCTTGAGAAGCTTGACGAAGACGCCGCCCGCCGAGCGGCGCTTCCCCGTCTCGGGCACCGCCATGCCGCCGGCCGCCTCCACGCTCTCCGTGTGGGCGAGGAGGGCGATCGCCGCGTCGGAGCCGAGCGCCGCGACGACGGCGCGGATGATTCTGACCTGTGGTGGTGGTGGTGGTGGGGGGGGGGGTGCGAGGGCGGGAGAGGGAGCGGGCGGGAGGAGGAGGTGCGGGGACAAGGGCAGGGGCAGCGAGGCGGAGGCAGACAGCTGGGGGGCAGGGGGAGGAGAGAGGGAGGGGGAGTGCGGGAGAGCTTTGCCTGTGGCTCCTGCAGCCTCTGCGCGATGAACTCGACGATCTCCTCCGGCGGCGCCTGCGCGGGCGGGGCGGGGCGGTGGTGGTGCGCCACGCGGCGGGGCGTTCACGCGGCGGGGCGGGGAGGCGCTTGCAGGGTGGGTGGGTGGGGGGCGTCAGTCCCGTCTAGAAAACTGAGTGCGTCTCCGCAGCTGTCAGGCTCGGTCTCGAGCGGGGTCATCAGTCGCCGGGCGCGGAGGCGGGAATGGGGAGGGGCGGACAGGAGGAGGGGCGGGCTGGCTGCGCGGGTGTGGGGCGGGTCGCCTTGTCGTGGGGGAGGGGGACTGCAGGGAGCGGAGTGGGAGGAGAGGGTTGGCATGCCTGGGCGAGCTTGGCAGCGTCCCACTCGACCGCCCACCCGACGGCGCCGCCCTCCTCGAGGGCGGCGGCGGCGCGTGGCTCGGCGGCATCCGACTCGGCCGGCTCCTCGGACGAGGAGGAGCGGAAGACGAGCGGCGGCAGGGACTCCTCCCCGGTCTCGGCCTGCAGAGAGAGGCGCGGGCGGGAGGTGGTGGGCAAGGTGCTGGAGGGGCAGAGGGTGGAATGAGGGCGAGCGAGTGCGCGGGGGCGAGTGAGCGGCGAGGGGAGGGCTGGGAGAGGGAGGGGGAGACCTCGTCATCGGCCCAGCGCGTCCCGAGGTCGCAGACGGGAAGCTTGCCCTCCTTTGAAAAGCCATCGAGGCGGCCCATGACGGAGGTGGGCGACGGGCCGCCAGGGCTCGGAGCCTCGTCGGGCAGCAGCGCGTCCTGGTACTCGCGGGGCAGCATCGCGACCGCGGCGACGACCCGCTCTCGCAGCGCGGAGCTGTCGTCAAGCAGGCTCTTGAGCTCGGGCTCGGGGAAGGCGTCGAGCATCATTCCCGTCACCTTGCCGGCAAGGTCGAGCTCGCCCTGCTTGGCGAGAGCGCTGATGCGCTGGTAGAGCGCCTCGCCGAGCTGCTGCAGCGACCGGGACATGAGGAATCAACGGGTTTGTTGAGGCGGGAAATGGAAAGAAAGAATTCTACGACCCACGCGCCTCGCACAGCAGAAAGAAAGAAAACCGCGGGCGGCTTCGCAGGCGGAGCAGAGGATAAATTATTCTGGCTGACACGTTACGTGCCCTGTTTGTCTTGTTTCTGCTGTTGTGTGTGCCCTTGGCACCTTGGGGGGGGAGGGGGGTGCTGGGCGGGCGACACGGGGGGCGTGGCCCCGAGTAGCGTGTAGTGCCGTACGCTCACTCGGGATGTGTGGCCCAGCTGGCTGAGTGTCCTGAGTTTGTGTGTCTGTGTGTCGCTCCAGCGTGCCGTCATCTTCTGTCTCGCTGTCCACCCATACCGCAATACGCCCATACGCATACCGCGTTCGGCGTTTGGTGTGGACTGTGGTCCCATGGGCGCGCTTAATAAATAGCCGCTTATCTTCTCCTCTGGGCTAGGTAGTCACTCGCGCTGGTTCACTCCCGGGAAAGGATCCCTAGCCACAAGTCAACTTACTTACTTACTCGCTCTGTGCCGGCGGCGGCGCCGCGCCCGCAGGAAGCCCCGCGCATAGTGGACAACAACGTCTGTCCCACACACGCCCACACGCCCACATACGTACAACATACATCATACATGCATGGCTCGGGCACCCCCCCACAGCGTGTAGTGGTGGGAGCACACAAGTACTGGCAGTTCCACGGCTCGAGTCGTACACAACGTCAGTGTGTGTACAGCGCAAGCGGGCTCTATTGAGTCGCACTTACGCCAAGCTCTCGCGGCGAGAGTCTGGCGGCGTTCGAGGCGGCGTGGGGATCGGGCTGACGCCCCCGGCCATCCTCCGCTCGAGGATCTCTGCGAGCGACCGCGGAGAGCGCGAGAGCAGTCGCTGATCCGACGTGGCTGCGCTCGTCATCGCACGCTGGAGCATGCCGCCAGCGGCTGCGTTCAAGCAATTCTGGGTGGAGGCGGGGAGGGCGGGGGCGGTGATGGTGGGGGTGGAGACGGTGGAATTGTCGATTCGGTCCCAGGAGGCCGGCGGCTCGGACGGCTCCGCCTCCTCAGCCAGAGACGCCCAAGGATGCTCCTCGCCGGCGAGGAGCGAGGCGGTGCGGCTCGAGGCGGCGGCGGCGGCGGAGGAGGAGGAGGAGGAGGAGGAGGCTGCAGAGGCTGCGGCTGGGGGAGGAGGAGCCCCCACCTCGGCCGAGCTGCTCTCTTTGTGCTCGACCAGGCGGTGCCTCTCCTCGGCGGCGGTCGAGGCGGCGGGGGGCGGCCGGCAGATAAGGCAGCCGCAGGTGCACCCAAAGAGCAGCCCGAGGAGAAGCACCGCCGCTGCGGGGCGGGAGGGAAGGCGGTCGACTAGGCGGTCGACAAAGACGGCGAGAGGGTCCAAAGGCGGTAGTAGCGGCGGCGGCAGCAGCGGCGGCAGTGGCGGCGGCGCGGGCAGTGGCGGCGGCGGCGGCGGCGGCGGCAGCGGCGGCGGCGGCGGCGGCGGCGGCGGCGGCGGCGGCAGCGGCGGTGGCGGCAGCGGCGGCGGCGGCGTCAGCGGCGGCGGAAGGGGGGGGTGGGGTGGCAGTGGCGGCGGCGGCAATGGATATGGCGTCCGTGGCGGCTGTGGAGGAGGCTGGGGTGGAGACGGCGGCCGCGGCGGCGGCGACAGGGGCGGCTGCGAAGGGGTCGGCGGCATGGGCGGCGGCAGCGGCGGTGGCGGCAGCGGCGGCGGCGGCGTCAGCGGCGGCAGCGGCGGCTGCGGCGGCGGCGCGGCGGGCGGCGGCGAGGAGGGTGGCAGTGGCGCCGGCGGCGAGGGCGGCGGCAGCGGCGGCGGCGGCGGCGGCGGCGGCGGCGGCGGCAGCGGCGGTGGCGGCGGCGGCGGCGGCGGCGTCAGCGGCGGCAGCGGCGGCTGCGGCGGCGGCGCGGCGGGCGGCGGCGAGGAGGGTGGCAGTGGCGGCGGCGGCGAGGGCGGCGGCAGTAGTGGCGACGGTGAAGAGGGTGGTGGCGGCGGCGGCGTCGACGGCGGCGGCGGCGTCGACGGCGGCGGCGGCGGCGGCGCAGCGGGTGGCGGCGAGGAGGGCGGCAGCGGCGGTGGTAGCGGCGGCGGCGGCGGTAGCGGCGGCGGCAGCAGGGGCGACGGCGGCGGTGGCGACGGCGGCGGCGGCGACGGCGGCGGCGGGGCGGGCGGCAGCGGCGGCGGTTGCGGCGGAGGGGGGGGGTGGGGTGGCAGTGGCGGCGGCGGCAATGGATATGGCGGCCGTGGCGGCTGTGGAGGAGGCTGGGATGGAGACGGCGGCCGCGGCGGCGGCGACAGGGGCGGCTGCGAAGGGGTCGGCGGCATGGACGGCGAGGGTGGCGGAGAAGGAGGAGGTGGCGGCGGAGGCGACGAGGGTGGCAGCGACGGAGGTGAGGGAGGCGGCGAGGTAGGCGGCAGCCATGGCGGCGGCAGGGACGGAGGCGACGGAGGCGGCGGCGGTGGCGGGGTCAAGGGCGGCGACGGAGGGGAGGGGGGCGGCGGCGAGGGAGGCGGCGGCGAGGGCGGTGGTGACGGGGGTGACGGCGACGGCGGCGGTGGCGAGGGTGGAGGTGGCGACGGCGACGGCGGCGACGGCGGCGAGGAAGGCGGCAACAGTGGTGGCGGCAGTGGCGGTGGTAGCGGCGGCGGCGGCTGTGGCGGGGCCAAGGGCGGTGGCGGATGGGAGGGGGACGGCGGCGAGGGGGGCGGCGGCGAGGGCGGCGGCAGCGAGGGTGACGGCGACGGCGGTGGTGGCGAGGGTGGAGGTGGCGAGGGCGACGGCGGCGACGGCGGCGGTTGCGGCGGAGGGGGAGGTTGGGGTGGCAGCGGCGGTGGTGGGAGTGGATATGGCGGCCGTGGCGGCTGTGGAGGAGGCTGGGGTGGAGACGGCGGCCGCGGCGGCGGCCAGGGTGGAGGAGGGGGCGGCAGCCAGGGTGGCGGAGAGGGTGGTGGGGGAGAGGGAGAGGGTGGTGGAGGAGAGGGCGGCAGCCAGGGTGGCAGAGAGGGTGGAGAGAGTGGGAGGGGCGGCGGCAGGGGCGGCAGTGGTTGGTACGGCGGCGGCGGCGGCGGCGGCGGCGGCGGCGGCGTGGGCGGCATCGGCGGCGGCGGCGGCGGCAGCGGCGGCTGCGGTGGTGGCAGTGGCGGCAGCGGCCAGGGTGGCGGAGAGGGTGGAGATGGTGGAGAGGGAGGAGAGGGTGGAAGGGGCGGCGGCAGTGGCAGTGGTGGTTGGTACGGCGGCGGCGGCGGCAGCGGCGGCGAAGGAGGCACCGGCGGCGGCACCGGCGGCTGCGGTGGTGGTCGCGGCAGTGCAGGCGAGGGCGACGGCGGCGACGGCGGCGGTTTAAACCACCACGGTGGCGGGCGCGGCGGAGGCGGAGGGCCGGAGGCGAGCGTGAAGTGCGGGGTAGCCATAGGATTTCGACGGCGGAAGCGACGAGCGGCTCGAGTGTTGACCTAAAAGCCACCCACTGAAGGCTTGAGCTTTTCAGCAGCGATGGTAAGTCAAGCGTGCAGCGACAACGAGTCAAGCGTGGGAGGTGGGTGTTGTGCTCAGCCTGACCTGTGTCCTTCTGCCGAGGACCAAGAACCGAAGGATTCAACAAACTGAAAGGCATTTTACGCAAAACTCCCACCCACTGAAAAGAGAATTTCCCAACCGAGCGGCCTCGCACAAAAGAGAAAATTCAATGGAGTTCCTGCGGCGATGGCACGAGATGTGTAGGGCCCCTGAAGGGGAGTGGGACGCCTGGGCGGGCGTCCGCCGGCAGATTATGGAGGCCCTGCAGACAGCAGGAGCCCCTCTGCCGGACCCCCCCTCAGGCTCAGCGGAAGCGGGCCGGAGGTGCTGGATGCAGTGGGCGCAGGCCGGGGTCCTTGACACGCTACGACGCATGTGCGCAATGGGCTCGACGTCGGTGGTAGGGGCCGACGTGCTGGCGCCGGCGCGACGAGGGAGGGAGGCGGCCGGCGGCCGCCTGGAAGCTGGATGACCTTGCGCAGATACGGGAGGGGAGGGGGCGGGAAGGTGGATGGCCTCCTCCTCGATGTAGATGAGGTGACGGGGGAGAAGCTCCCCACCACTTCGCACGAGAGGATCGTGTCGCACATACAGGGGCAGCTGCAAGACCTCGGGAGGGAGAAGAGCGAGGGGGAAGGGGCATACGCCGCATCGGCGGCGTTCCACTCCGTCCTCTTCACGATCTACTCGAGTTGGCGAGGCACAACACGCCGGGCGCGAGTAAGGGCTCCAGACGAGGTAAGTCAGAGAGTTGCCGAGAAGGCGGACGAGCTTCGACGGGCGGCGGAGCTGGCCCGTCGAGGGGCCAGCACTTGTGGGGAGCTCCGGAAGCTGTGCCAACACCTGTGCGAGGAGCTGCACTTCTACATGGGGTCGCAGGCCAAGGTGGCAGTGGAGTACTTGCTGACCGACGAGGCCTCTAGGCCTCTAGGGAAAGGCCTGGGGTGGTCTTCAACCACCACGCCTACACGGACATGGGGAAGACGCTGAAGGGGAGGAGGATGGCCCTCGCCGCGGCGGTGGCGGCGATCAGGGCGGACCCCCAGGCTCGAGAGGGAGTAGACACTGCCCCGTTGCCGAGCCATCCTATGCCAGCCCAGACTGATTTGGCCGGGGTGCCGATCAAACTAGCTGCGCACGAGGTGAGAGCCTGGCTGGATGAGGTGGCGACCGAGGCGGACCTCATCGCCGATATGGTCGTAAAACACGCGGAACGACTGGCGGGGCGCTACGCTGCCCGCGCGAAGCCAACGGCGATCCGGGATGGGGAATATCGGGAGGCTTTCCGTCCCTTCCATGACGTAGCCGAGCTACGGCGCGAGATCGAGCGCCACAGCTTGGGCAAAACGGGGAGGCTTATGACGATGGACGAGCTGGCAGCGCTGTCCGACTCACAGCTGGAACCGTTTCTACATATGACACACCTCATCTTTGCCGGCGATACCCCCGAGCGCGTGGCGCGCCTCGCCGACGGCAGAGGAGACGACGCGGTCGTGCCGACATACTGCTTTGAGATCAAGGAGGTGATTGGCATGCGCTTCGCCGACCCTGAGCAGCTCGTGGCGGGAAGAAGCGGCGCAATGAGCTGGCCGCGGCGGAGACGTCGCTGTGCTACCTCACCCGCGGCAAGTTTCGAGAGGACCAGAATGACGACGGCTTCATTGATACGCGCTGGGTCGAGCTCGAGGACCTGTACGACAACTGCTGCGAGCAGAGCGTGCGGCACTTGCTTTCTTCTCTTCGCGTCTTGCAGGCCGCAGTCGAACCTCGCCGATGATCCTCGCCCTCTACCTCTCCTCCGCCTGGCTTCCTCCCGCTCCCTGGCGGCCGTCTCCCTCCATCGCCAGGCTTCCACCGCCGCGCTGCTCCGGCGACAGCAGCGTCTGGGCCGCCTTTGAGCGGGCGATTCACATGGCCAAGGGCCTGGGAAGAGGCGACCCGGGCAAGGAGCTCGCCTTCGACGCGAGCGCCGCGCTGGATGAGATGAATGCCGCGTCGCAGCGCCGCCTCGACGCGCAGGTGGAGGCGGAGGAGGACGCGCTAGGATCCAGCGCAGAGAAGCGGTTGCGGCAGCTGGCGGCCTCACTGACGCGAGACCTGTCCGCGGCCGAAGCGACGCGCGCCGACGCGGCGGCGCGGCTCGCGGCGGCGGGCGCGGCGGCAGAGACGCAGGCAGCGCGGGCCAGCTGCGCCGAGGCGGCGGCGGCGAGGGCGGGCGCGGGCGAGGCGGAGGCGCGCGCGGCCCTTGCGCGGGCGGAGACGGAGCTCGAGGCGTCGCGCGACGAGCTCGAGCAGGGGCGGGAGGCGGCGAGGGCCGCGGTGGCGGAGCTAGACGACGCGCTCGAGACAGCGCAAGACTCGCTACGCACCACTCGGGCGGCGATGGAGGCGGCGGCCGAGGAGGCCACCGCAGAGCGCGCGGCGCTGCAGACGAATCTCACCCACGCGCTCTCTCGCGCGTCCTCTGCCGAGGAGGCGAGATCGCCGCAGAGATTGGCCGAGAGCAGCCGAGATCGCAGCAGAGTCCGCCCAAGCGAGGCTCCTAGCTGCGCAACCTTCCTGCCAATGAGGCTCCTAGCTGTGCAACTTTCCTGCCAATGAGGCTCCTAGCTGCGCAACCTTCGTGGGCGAGCCAGACGCCGGCCCATCACCGGCGCCGCCCGCCCGAAATTGCAGGCGGCGGCGGCGGGGAACGCGCTCGAGGAGGCGAGCCGCGCTGCAGCGGCGGCGGCGGCGGCGAGCGAGGAGCTCGCGAGGGCGCGCCGCGCCGCGTTGGACAGCGACTGCGCGGCGGGCGCAGCGAGGGCGGAGGCGGCGGCCGCCCGGCGCGAGAGGGACGAGGCGGTGCAGAGGGCCGACGCGGCCGAGGCGGCGCTCGCGGAGGCGACGCTGGGCAAGAGGGAGCGGCTGCGCCGCTTCGTGGCGCGCCGCATCGACTCGGTTCGGCAGCGGCGCCGCCATGGGGGCTGATGCGGCACCGTTGGGGCGTTGGGTCGCTCGGCGATACTGGTCGATGTGAGGCCCGCGCCCGACAACGGCCCCACGAGACGCCGCCGCCACGCGTCAGGCTCCTCATATTGTGCTCTCAGATCTTGTCCCGATTGCACGATCATACACACTCCACACGCCGCTCGTGGCGGCACCGTGCGACTCTCGCTACAGCCTACACCGTAAAGCCGTACGAGCTACGACACGCACACGTAAAACTGAGACTGACAGACTGTCAACAGAGCGCCCGGGGCCGGGCGCCCCTCCGGCTCCGCCCCACCGCGGCCACCCCGACCCGCACCCCGCCACGCCCCACCCGCACCCCCAGCATGGGCAATGCAGCAACTCCTTGGCAACTGTCCGCTGAGTGAGGCAGCTCCACGCCGCGCACTTCCCGCACACGGCGCGCACGACCATGGTCCATGGACCAACGTACACACCGCGCGCGGCGGTTGCCCGGTTGCGGTTCGGCCCCCCGCCGCGGCGCGCGGGAGGCGAGGAGAGGACAGTGTTGGAGAGGGCGAGGTGAGACTGAGAGGTGGGGGGGCCACACACACACGACACACACCACTCAAACGCCGTTTTCTTCTCTGTCTCGGGTTTCTCACACACGGACACTGGGACACATACACGAGACAAACATACATAGGCAGCCTGCCTCGAACTCGACGCATATGTGCGGCGCTCGCGGGCGCCTCGACAGCTGTTCAGCTCCGAGCCCCACCGGCGAGTCCGACAACGGGAGTCGGGTCAAACACAACCCGACTCAACACTCAATACATTCGTACCGATCATACGGATACGCTCTCGCTCTCGATCTACACGAGCGGGTACACGCCATCGTACAGGATGCCGCTCTGGCCGCAGACCTTGACCGTCGCCGGCCCGCCCTTGCAGCCGTCGCCGTCCATCGGGTGCAGGTCGACGCCGCACGGCGCGTCCCTCGACCGCGCGACCTTCATGTACCCGCCCTCGCCCCACCGCGGCGTCCAAGAGTTGCGGACCAGAAAGTAGTCTGCGCCCGCTGGCGTCGTGCCGTAGCCCACCAGCTGCACCAGGTGGTCGAGCCTGGGGTGGCTGTGGTTGCCGCCGCCGAAGACGCCCTCCTCGTAGTCGTGCCAGCCGCCCGCGTCGACCGACACCGCGAGAGGCCCCGCCGTGAGCGCGTGCATGACCGCGTCGTACGAGTTTGGCTCGAGCGAGACGTGGCCCGACACGTTGGCCGCCTTGGCCACCGCGCCGCCGTGCGGCTGCTCGAGCCCGCCGAGCGGCAGCCCGTGGCACTTTGTGTCTCCGCCGCTAGTCTGGCCGGCCAGGTAGGGATAAACCCATTCCGAGGGCAGGCCGCCGAGCGCTTTGAGGCGCTCGTATGCGAGCGCCGCCGTGCCGCCGCCGCAGCCGCCCGTGCCGCCGCAGGCGTGCGGGTTGGGCGTGCAGTCGAGAATGAACTGCTCGGAGAGGTCCTGCAGCTCCCCCGTCTTGAGAAACCAGCGCGACTCGACCGTCTCGGCCGAGGCGAACGTCCAGCACGAGCCGCAGTGGCCCTGGTTCTTGACGGGCGTCACCGCGCCCTGCCGCCGCCAGTCGACGCCGCTCGGGACCTCGTCGGCCTTGGTAAAGGGGCGCGCCGGCTTGGCGGTGCTGAGAGCGTGCTTCTGCGAAAAGAGGAGAGCGCGGTCGAGGCCGTGCAGCACGGAGAGCTCCTCAGGCGTGCGGTCGGTGAGGTGGTTGACGCCGCGCTTCCTGTCCACCGTGGGGCGCGAACGAACGTGCCGCTCAGGTTGTCGACTAGAGCTGGGCAGTGAGTGACGTGCTCTGGTCGTGAGTCGAGCCGTGGACTCGCACCACGAATGGCCGGCAGCGTTGTGCGAGCGAACCTCCTTGAGCTTCTTGTTGAAGGCGGCCTCACGCGCTGCCGCCTCTTCAGCCGTCGCGTACATCTTTCCAAACTCCTGGCGGTACCGCTCAAAGTGGTAGCCGTCAAGCTCGTGCCAGCGCGTCGCCGCGAGGGTGCAGAGGCTGAGAAAGAGCAGTCCCATGTGTGTCAAGCGCTGGTTTAACACCGCAGCCGACCACACGGCCGCCGACCACACAGGGTTCCGGCTCCTGGCCAGATACGGGCTTACTTCACACCCCAGTGCCCAAATCCACACTTTTCAGTGTATGTGGCTCTTACGTACATTCCCGTAGGAGGACTCTGCTGACAGGGTTTGCGATGAGGAGCGACCCGCTTTTTGTCACGCGGCCGAAAAACTCTCCGGAAATCGAACCCTGGCGTGCTTCTATAATAGGGCTAAGGAGCACCACCGACCCGTCTTGGTTCCACGAAAAAAAACATTTTCCGGACCCGGGATCAGCTGGAGATGTGAACAAGATCGGCCGAATGCGGTCGGCTTGGAGGTCGTGGTCGAATTAGTGGCTTGGAGGTCGTGGAACCAAGCGAAATCGCTTCGCCGTGGTCGAATTAGTGGGGTAAGCCGCTGACGGCAGACCCGCAGCTTGGCTCCCCGCGTGACAAACGACGGCCTCCAGACTTCCTCCGGCCAAAATTTTCTTCGGGGCGGCTGCGCCGCCCTGCAGACACCCCGTTGGCGGCACCGAGCGCGAGTTTCCGACGCGCTCGTGTCTGGTATTGTGGTAACAGACACGGATACGCCAGCCTGTTGTCGGCGTGATCGCCACTGGGCTTAGCTGAGGGTCAGGGAGCCGGTGGTATAGCAGCCACTGCGCAGCACGTGAGCAACCGTACCCGGATGCGTGCCTTGTCCGCTCGGTCGGCGCGGCCTCCGTCCGTGGCAGGCCTCCGTGTCCGTGCCGTGGGGTGTCTGCGTGAGAGACTGTGCGTTGTTTGAGGAGAGGATAGCTTGGTATTGCCTTCACATGTCGCAAAGACTCCAGGTATAACTCTACGTGGCCACTATTTCTCGCATCCCAAAGATTCCAACCAGTAGGCTCACCGTCCCTGGTCCCGGTGAGCCGGCCGTCAACACCGTCGCGGCCGGCGCGGCCGCTCACCTGTCCCGTCCTCCTGTGTAATACTAGACTTGTGGTGCTGGGCAGGCCGAACATGCACAAGAAAACCCCGTGGAAAACGGTTAAAATGGCACCGATTTACGATTTTCCGCGCGCTGCGCGCGCCGAGCACGGCCACGGCGCCAAAAAAGTGCTTGCCGGAGTCCGTTTTCAGTGGACGGACACCCAAAACGACATTTGCATCGGCCGGGCGGACAAATTTAGTGCCTGGGAGCCCCTTTTAGAGCCTTCTAAGCCCTTCCTGCTACTTTTTGAGCTCGGCTCGTCGTCGCCGCGCGCCGCGCCGTAGCCGTCTGCGCGCAGCTCGAGCTCGGCGGCCTCGCATGTGCCCGTGTCCTCGAGCAACGGCGAGCCGCTACGCGCAATCACCAGCTTCTCCAGTTCCTCCTGAAGCTCACCCTCGTCCACCTCGTCGCGAACTTCCGCCACCTCGGCCACGAGCTCATCGAGCAGCGATGCAATCACCTTCTCGGGGTCCTCGCTCGCCATGCTGAACTTGGCGGCGGACTCGCGCGTCGCCTTGCGCTTCTCGTGCCAGCGCCGCTTTTCGTCGGCCGCGCGCTTCGCCCTGCGCTCCATCGGCGTCATCTTGTTGGCCTTGCGCTTCTCTGAAGCAGCGTGCGAGGCGGCGAGCTGATGCCCAGGCGCCTCCGGCTGCGCCTGCCGGATGACGCCGGCGCGCCTACGCGAGTGCTGCGCGGACGACGTCGTGGACGGCGCCGGAGCGCGCTCCTTGCCGAGGGGCACCATAGAGATGCGTGCTGGGTGGCGGCCAGACTCCGCTGAAACGGAAAACCGGACACGGGGAAATATAAGGTAGGATACCAAACAACTCTAACACTCACACGTAATTTGGGGCCTGGAGCCCTGTTCACGCGCGCGCGAGACGTGCAGACAGGGTTGCCGGTGAGAGCGAATGGCACGGTTCACGTTTGTTGTTTTGTTAGGATGTGCGACCATGAGAAAATAAACAAATCCAAAATCCAAATCGCAAACATGCAATGTGCATGCACATGCACATGCACATGTGCAGAGAGAGAGAGCTCTCCAGAAAACTGGTGCCTCATATGCTGCCTCCCTGCGGATGCTGTTGGCGAGCCTGGCGGTCCGCTGTACTACAAGGATGTGCTGACTCGATTTCTACTCGAATTCTTCTACCCCCACCGCACGACTCGGAACGCGAATGTGACAGGACCATCGGGTCCTTCAGCCTCCAAAGCGGGATCACCCGAGAGCAGCTGAGCCTGCCTCTGGCCTCGCCTCCCTCTCCTTCAGGCATTCGTGGCATCCTATGGGTCGTCCAGAGTATCGACCTCTGGCTTGTCAGCCAGCCCCACTTTGAGGGCGCCATGAAGTACAGCGATCGCCATCTCGCTGGCCTCTCCACAAGGCCTCCCGACCGCGTCGAACTCATCGGCGCGGGCTCTCTCGGCTACGGGACCGGCCCCAGCTTCGGCTGAGGGCTAACAAGCTGCCGAGCCCAAATCACTGTGAGAGTCGTGATTTCTTCCATGTGCATGTGCATGCAGAAACCCAAACAGCCAGTGGCCGATAGGATATTTGTTTTGTTGAATGATGTCAACAGCACACAGTCAACTTCCAAGCCCGCGAGAGCGTAGCAGACACTCGATCAAAAGAAACCGAAGGCGGCGGCTCGTTCACCTCCGGCGACCGAGCTCTTGCGGGTCATTGCACATGCTGGTCCCCCTCGTCCTCACGGTGCTCACGCAGCCCGCCCCGCTGGCAACGGAGGCGGTCTCCGTGCAGCCCACACCGCCGACAGAAAGGGCGGCGGGAGAAGCGGCACCGCCGACCGAGAAGGCGGCGGGAGAAGCGGCACCGCCGACCGAGAAGTGGATATCCTCATCATGCAGCTTGTCCGGCTGCGTGCACACGAACTACCTGACCGGCACCACCACGGCACACGACTTTAAAGGCGGTAAGGTCACTACGAATCACTGGACAGGCGAGACCACCGCGAGCAACCACCAGGGCTCCATCACCAGCAACAAGTACACGGGCGACTGGAAGGCGCACGGGTGCAACAGCTGGGGCTGCGGGACCTCCGGCGGCAACCACCGCACGGGCGACTACTGGTCCGTACCTCACCCTGCTCCTGGTGGCAACCCTACAGTGTGTTGCATGGCTATGACCGCCTCGTGCATGGCCTGCCAGAAGGGCGTGAGCCTCAGCGCCTGGTGCGCGGCCCACCCTGGCTACGCGGGCTGCCCGACCGCAGTCTTTCCGCGCCCAGGCATGCCGGGCGGCAACCCTACCATTTGTCAGCTAAAATGGGCGCAGTGCGGCGGCAACTCCTGGACTGGCGCCACCTGTTGTGAAGCTGGCTCCGTCTGTACTGCATCAAGCGCCTGGTACAGCCAGTGCAAGCCATCCCGCAACTACCTTCACAAGATTGTGCGCCCTCTCCACCGCCTCAACGCACCCTCCCCCCTCCCCGCCCTGCGTGAATGTACCTCCGCACTGTAGGACGAGGCCGGCGAGCTGGTCGCAACCCACGCCGGCGTCTTCGCCGCAACCGGTGCCGCAACGGACACACCGCGAGCCGAGGCTCCACGCACGCTAGCAGCAACACTAGCCGCGAGTGCACCGAATACTGTAGGCGCCTTTGCCGCCGTCTTCTTGGCCGTCGGACTCTTGCGCCGCTCGCGCGCCAGCAGGCCAGAAGCGGCTACGGCCGAGGCGCCAGCCGTGCAGCTGGTGTGAAGTGAAGGCGGCGGCCGCACGCGACGACGTGCGATTTGCGATAAGGAGGGAGGCGTGGGGGTTCGTGTCTGCCTTTGTGGCCTCTCTGAGTAGTGTGTGGTACATGCGCTGAGCACCAGCCGGCTCGGGGTTTGCCTGCCGCGGGCGGCGGGGAGCCGGGGTCACAAGAGGGCGTGGCCCACGACCCGCCGGCACTGTTCTGTGCGGCGCTGCGGCCGCGCCGGAGGTGGGGCGTGGGGGTCGAGTCCGCCTTCTGGCGCCCGGCGCTCTGCGATGATGTGAAAATTGTGACCAAGATCCGCTGTGATCAAGAGGAAGTAAGCTCGTAGGGGGTCTGCACCATGACTCGCGCCAAAACGCTCTACCTACCTATCCCCAGGCCGCGCAGCGAAGCGAAAAAAGACGAAAATAGGGGGTACCTACCTGTTGCAGGGCCCTCTGGGGCGGTCAAAACCGGACCTACCTACCTATTGCATAGGGTGTCACCGGTCAACAGACCCCCTATCTGGCTAGGAGCCGGAACCCAGCGGCTCCGAGGGCGACACCCAAGGGGCGCGGACTAACCCTCGGAGACCCGTGTTTACTTTACGGCCCTTCCCTGCGAACGCGCACCCCCCAGGGCTAGGGCTCTCTTGCCCGCAACCCGATGCCAATAATCTGGCCCGCTGGGTGTGCTTCTTAGCCCCCCGGCCCTGGATGTGCGGTTGCTGACTGCACTCCAAGGACCAACCAACCAAGGTCCAACCAAGCAAGTAAGTGCTCCAAGTGCCCCAAGGGTGGGAGGACGGCGCACACGCCGCCACGACACAGAGATTTCCGCCGTCCTCTGCCTCATCGCTCTCTTCGGGCTCATCGGATTCGTGTGAAGGGCGACTCAAGTGTGTGCTCCGCCGGGGTTTGCCAAGAGACAGATGATGTACACGAGCAACGCACAAACAATGTTCATGGTACCGCCGACGCTGGCTGCGCCCCAGCAGCAGCTGGGACAGGTCGTCGTCGCGCCGCAGATTGTGGCGATGACTTCGCTTGACCCCCGCTTCCAGCCGCTGCCGCTGCAGCCCGGTGAGACTGCATTTTACCCGAGCGGCGAGAGGAAGCGGGCAAAGCAGGCGAGGAACATAGCCCGCGCCCCCCATTATCGCTCTCAAACTCTCGCGCTCGCGCGTTCGCTCTTGCTCTCAGAGGGAGGGCCCTCGCCCTCGCCCTCGCCCTCCCTCTCGCCCGCCCTCGCCCTCGCCCTCGCCTTCCATGTCGCCCCTCGCCCTCGCCCGCTCTCGCCCTCGCTCTCGCCCTCCCTCTCGCCCGCGCCATTTTGCCGCCGCCCTCGACGCCTCCGACGACGTCCCCACGTCGCCCCCGCAGGCGTGCATGGCGTGCTGGAGGGCCAAGCTCCGCTGCACGATGCTCCAGTGCGGCTCGTGCCTCTCTTGCGTCGAGCGCGGCCGGCCGTGCATCCCCCGCGTTCGCATGAAGCGGCGGCAGACCCGCGAGCGCCCGCCCTACCCGAGCCTCGACCTGGCCCGGGCGCAGGAGGCGGCGCTGCAGTCTTTGCCGCCGCTGCCGCCGCTGCAGCCCATGCCGCCCTCGGCCGTGGGCCTCGAAGACCTGTGGGGCGGCGCACAGCACCTTCAGCCCGGCGCCGCCCCCAACTCGCCGACGGTCGGGGCGGGGGCGGGCATGCCGGCGGTCGCGCCCGTGGCCGCGGCCGACCAGGCGTCGCTGACCGCTGCGCTCTGCTCGTCGTACTCGATGCACCTGCAGCGGTCGCTCGCCGATTCGATGTCCCTCTCGCGGATGCTCGCTGTGCACGACGGCTGGCGCGGCGGCGGCTCCACCGACCTGAAGGTGCAGGCGGCCGCGATGATGTCGGGACAGCTCGCGGGCGCGGCGGCGGGCCAGGCGTCGATGCAGGCGGCGGCGCAGGCGGGGATGATGCAGGCGGCGGCGCAGGCGGCGGCGCAGGCGGCGGCGGCGGCCCCTCATGGCGGTGTCCCCCCCTCGGATGCCAGCTCGGGCGCCGTCCCGGCCGCCTCGCCTCCGGCCCCCGTCGCGCCGCCCCCCCTGCTCTCGCAGCCTCTCCTCTCGCAGGAGCTGCTCGTCGCCCACGTGATGCGGCTGCAGCGCGCGGCGCAGCAACTGGTGCAGTGGCCTCAGCCGCAGGTCCTCACCCCGGTGGCGCCTCCGGCGGCGCCGCTCTCTCTCGGCACTCCGGCGGTCGCCGAGAAGACGACGATGGAGGCGGCCCTCGCGGCGTTCAAGGGGGGCGGGAGCCAGGCGGAGATGGCCGCCGCGTTCCTGGCGCACATGGACGCGGCCAAGGCCGCGCTCGCACAAGCCCCCCTCGACGGCGGCAGGCTCATGTCCTCGGCCGGTGCAACCGGTTGTGCGCCGGCCGCTTGCCTGGCCTCAGCGGCCGGCGGCGGCTCCCCCAGCGCGGGGTGCGCGAACAGCGGGACGATGGCTTCGACCACCGTAGGGGCTGTCGGCCCGGTCCCCGCCCGCGCGGCCCCTGCCGCGGTCGCCGCGATCCCCTCCGCGATCCCCTCCACGCTCGAGGCGCTGCAGCGCGGCGAACCGGTCGCGCAGGCGAGCTTGTGGTGGGAGGTGCCGGCGCCGCCGCTCGCGGCCGAATCGTCGACGGAGACGCTCGAGGCACCGCAGGACGAGCACAGGGCCCCGCCGCTCGCCCAACTGGCCGGAGGAGGCGGAGGAGGCGGAGGAGGCGGAGGAGTCGATGGGTGGGCGCGAGAAGGGGCGGGCGGGGGCGGCGGCGCGGGCTGGGGCGGTGGTGGCGTCGCGGCGGGGTCGTTCGTCGGGTCGCACGACTTGGGCTACTACGTCGAGGACATCGACGGCGGCGAGGAGGCGCCGCTCCCACCCCCCTGCCTGCGCCGTCCCAGAGGCCTGTGACGCGTCCGAGACGCGACCACAGGTGAGCCTCAAGCGGCCGCGGGACACCATGGAGTACACCAAGGACCACGACTCCTTCGTGGACGAGGTTGCCCGGCGCGAGGTGGTGCGGCGCGGCTCGCAGGAGGAGGAGTCGGCCGCCGCCGCGGCGCTGCTCGAGGCCTCGCCCAGCAAGGAGGGCGGCGGCTCCGGCTCGAACCTGTTCGAAGGAGACGTTTTTGCAGGCAGATGCTGAACTGAGCCTCGTCGCTGCCCCCGCGGCCCCTCCTCCTGGCCGCGGCCCGAGGTTGCCTTGCGCGCGATTTTCCCTTTCCCCCACCCGCATCCGGCGTCTGCTCTGGCGCCTTTGCAGGGACCCCCCCCCCCCCCCCTTGTCGGACCGCCAGAGCCGCACCGATGCCAATTTTGCTGCCGGGACCCCCCCCCCCCCTCCCCCTCCCCCCGTCGGACCGCCAGAGCCGATGCCAATTTTGACCGCTCCCAGATGAGCGAGCGATAATGTTTTCGGCCGAGCACGGTGCGATCGCGCTAACCGCTATACGATCGGCCGGCGCTTCCTGCTCTGTACTACATGCGCTGAGAGTCGCGGATACACGTGTGGGGTCTGTCTCTTTGGTCCCAGTTTTGGAGTTGTGTGTTCTCTCGGCGCTCATGCGTGTTCGCGCCCCAAGTCCATGAAAAGCCATGCAAATGACTAGTTGCAAAAAGTCTCACCCGTGGAAAACCTATACGCTATAGCAAAAACTGCGAAAAACGCTGTCACGAAAAAGTGACATAGAGCACCCACGTTTTAAGCGTTCTGTGCACACACAAGGTCCGTCCGCGTGCACCGCCAGCTTCCCAGGGCCATAGCGCGAAAAACGAAGGAGGAGATGCATCCTAGCTGTCGCCACCGAAGGCGACTCGACGCCGCTGAGATCGGAGATCAAGCTCTGACAGGTCACACGTCGCTCCTTTGACGCCGACGTGACTCACCCGTGCAGAGCGCATCAGGACACGGTCTCGACGCGCTCGGTACGACGCCTGCGACCCGTCTCGGGTCAGGTGGCACGACGCTCATCGCGCCCCCCAGCGCTGCCGTGCAGGTTGCCACGACGAGGTGGAACCACATGTGCATGCCGGAAAAGCTTGTGCAGGCCAAAAAAGGGCGCGCTCATCCGTTTCACCCCAGCTGAAGGATGAGCGGCGAAGCAGGGAGGAGCTGGATACACCGGCCGCTCGCATCATGGCGCGTCGCGAGAGCCGCGCCGCGATGCCGGACCGGCTCAAGGTGGCGGCGCAAGGAAAAGGAGCGCGCGCATACTGGGGAAGACAACACGTGAAACTGCACTGAGACCGCCCGCCGACGACGACGCGAACCCCTCGCTCGGCAATGTGCGTCGCGGAGTCCTCGAGTGTGTCGGTGCCAGCCGCAGCAACGAGGACGGCTGGACCAAAGCCCAATGCGAGGCGCTACCAGCGTGTCGAACGCAGGGCGGGCCAAAAAAACGCGAGTGCCACTGCCACGCCAGCCCGGATCGCCGTCGGTGCTGCCGCAACGCTGCTTGTCGTTGCCACTCTGGCTGCGACACAGGCACTGGTCGCTGCATGGTTAGACGCTGTCTTACTGCCATCGCCTCCATCAGCGCCACCGCCTCCGCCTCCGTCGCTCCCCCCCTTCCCTCCATTCCCGCCACCGCCACCACCACCGTCGCCATCTCCTCCTCCACCGCCGCCACTGCCGCCCCCGCCGTCGCCGTCGCCGCCGCCGCCGCCGCCGCCGTCGCCCCCGCCGCGACGAATCTTTGGCGCGGTTGCGACGATGCTCAACGACCGCTTCCGCGGCGCACGCGCCACCAACAACCTCACTACTGCGGGCGTGATTCTACGCGGGCTCGACTCGTCCTCCGACCCGGACCGGCCTTGGATGGCCTGCACGACGAATTGGTGCGCACGGCACGGCGACCATTTCTCCACCTCCCTCGTCTACCCCGGCCACGCCGCCTCCTATGGCCCGATTGGCTTTGTGATCGACCCCACTCTTGTGGAGCTCAACTGCGCTCAGCACCCTAGATGCGTGGTTGTAGCCGCTCTCGCCTGCATCCGGAATCGCTAGGTGGCTCGCATGGCGCGTCTCCGCTGACTCAGCCTTCTCCCCTCGCCCTGCAGGCGCCTACCCCGGCGACGGCGGCTCGCAAAACACGCCGCAGGGCTGCAAGGGGGAGTGCGACCTGAGGCCAGGGTCGCCGATGCGAGGGAACTGCATGTACAGGCCGCAGCACCTGTACCTGATGCTCGAGCGCCTCCCGCCCGACACGTCCTGCAGACGGGGGTGCAAGGACCAGGGGATGAACGAGATTGTTTTCGACCCGACGGCCTGGCAGAGAAACATGCCGCGGACCATCGTGGCGATGTTCCATAAACGCGGCGCGGCGGGCGAGGACCCTCGGGGCAGCGTGTCAGCCATGCACCGCAAGTTTGTCGCCGAGTACGGCCTCAAAGGCTCGGATGTGCCGCTGCTACGCTACGAACCCTCCGATTTTGTGCAGCCGTTTTCTGACGCATGACCATCTCAGTTGTCCGACGTGCGACGACGAGATAGAGGTGCTACGTGTGCTAGAGCGAGCTGTGCTCTATTCGTTGAGAGGTCTGAGAGGGAGGCACCTATCGGGGAGGAGCTCCGTCGTTCTGCACGATCTTGCGGGGTGTGACGTGTGTCGTGTGTGGTGTGGAGCGCGCGGGATCGTGCGAGTAACCTGGTTTGTGGAGCTCCCGCACCTGTTCTGACAGAGACCTGGCCGTTCTGACAGCGTTCTGACAGCGTTCTGACAGTGTTCTGACAGCGTTCTGACAGCGTTCTGACAGCGCAAAATCCTCCCCTCTCTTCACAGCTCAGGGGCTCTGACGTTCCCAGTTGCCCCGCTCCTTCCCTCTTCCTGTCTTGAAGTCTCCCTCCGAGCCACGGACGGACTCAACACACAGCACGTCCTCCCAAGCGCCAAGGCGACACTCTCACGTTGAGGCGTACCTAGGCCCTGTTCTGACACAAACTTGGTCCCCGTTCTGACACAAACTTCAACTTTAACTTCGAGTCCAAGTTCGCCTGTTCTGACAATCTGTTCTGACAATTTAAAAAGAAATGCGCGCGGCACACCAAGCGGGAGCGCAAACAGCTGTAACCGTCGAGCAGGAGCACGCCAAGGCCGCCATCATGCCGGGGCCTCGAGGCAGCAAACGCGCTCTTGCGATGGTCTGCGGCGCAGGCTGGAGCCCCGCGACAGAGCCGAAGAAGCTGCGGCCCGGCAGCAGCCACGCCGAAGCGCCGCAGCACAGTGTGCGATGTGCGGGCCCGGCGGTCCAGTTAGACGCGAAGGCTGCTTCCAAGACGGCAGCCTCGGGTCACGAGGGACCGAACGTGCCGCTTGCGACGCCGCCGCGCCGTCCTTTGGCACCACCGCCAAACGGCCCTTGCTCCTCCGCGACACGCGCCGCAGAGACGCGCTTGTCGCCGCCAAAGCAACAGCAGCAGCAGTGGCAGCGAGACTTAACGTCGGCAGTGCGGCCTCGCCGCAGCCCAGCCGGCGCTTGCCTTGCCCTGGCCAGGCGGCCGAGCAGGCGGTGCCCGCAGCCGAGGCAGATCAGCGGGATGGGCTCGAGCGGGCGCCGCCGCCCCCTGGCGCCGCGCCCGCAAAGGAGCCTGCAAAGGCGGCGGCGATCGGCGAGGCGGCGGCGCTCGCGTCTTGCAGATGTTCACACTTGGCCCGCTCTCGCGTGCTGGCAACGTTCTGACAGCACCCTACCCACAAAAGTGTTCTGACAGCGTTCTGACAGCGTTCTGACAGCGTTCTGACAGCGTTCTGACAGCGTTCTGACAGCGTTCTGACAGTGTTCTGACAGCCGTTCTGACAGCTTTTTGACGGTAATTTACAGTTAAGACTCACCATCTGGTCTGAATAGAGGAGGGCGATGTCAGTGTTGGTTACAGCAGAAAGATTCCTTAATTCGCTCCACTACAAAAAAAGTCCGGTGGGGAACCGACATCCTGGCCCCGAATGCCGTGCTCTCGAGGAAAGGTGCGGGAGCTCCACAAACCAGGTTGAGTTCCGAATTCCGTGTTCCGACCGTCGCTCTTCACACCACACACCACACACACACACAACACAATTATTTTACTTCATTTTCCTCCCACACCACACAATACGTAATTCATGTAGAGCGCTCCGCAGTCAGGCCAATAGAGGGCCTTCGGAGCAGGCGCAGGTTCGAGCGCGCGTCCGGGGCCGTCGTGGCGCCACGCGTGGCCGGAGGACACACCTGGGAGAGGGCCGACATACACATGATGAGTGCGGCACCAACCTCTGAGCACTTCCCCTGCCATCCTCTGGCGCCGTTGACGGCGCGCGGCTCAAGCCAACCTCGCGGCGGCCATCCCCGCCTCCAGTCCGCGCCCCTCACCGCCCGCCCACCTCGCCACCCGAGCAAACGTAGACGGGCTTGCCATAATAGTCGGAAAAATCGCTCGACTGTTTGCAGCCGTCGTAGCCCATGTCGCGCGAAGCGCAGAGGTACATGTACTTGCCCCCGTGTGTCCCGACAAGGTGGCAGGCCTCCTGCAGCTCTGCCCACGGCGGCAGCGGCATCCGCAGGTCCGCCTGCAGCCAGCCGAAGCCGCGCGATTTGCCTTCGGCGGCCGCGCCCTCGTCCAGCTCGCTCAGGAAGGCCTCAGGAGAAGAGAAGAGGTCGAGGCCGAGCTTGACGGCGAGGAAGATGGCGCATGCTGCGAGAAGAGAGTGATCGGCAATGAAGCTCCCGCCGCCGCCAGGATCAAGCATGCTTGCCGGCGGCGGGCGGCGGGCGGGAGGTGCGGCGGCGGCAGGGGCGAGCGGCGCCATGAAGGCGCGCTTGGGTGCCACTGCCGGTGCGACGAAGGAGTGCGCGGCTGAAATGATAGCAATCATATGGCAAAGGCTCAGCTGGCGGGCAATCAGTGATTGCCGGAAGTAGGCGGGTGTTTTTCTCGCTTTTGCGGGCCCCATGCTGAAATTCTGCGCGCACCGTCGAGCTGACGGCGGGCGCGCTGCGGTCGCACGCCAAGCCAAGTTATATGCCAGTGGCATGCGACCTAGAATCGGCTCACGCGCCTCTACTCGCATACGCTCACCCATAGAATTGTCACCGCCAGTGAGTGCGAGATAGGGCTAGCGGCTGGCGGCTAGCCTCTGAGGAGAGTGACCAGAGACACCTCACACGACCCCACACACGGTCTAGTCCGGCCTCGCGGTCGGCGGAGATTGCTAGAGGCCGAGCAAGCCTGCTCTAGCCTCACGTTCGCCCCTGTTGTCTGTTGTTTGTTGTGCCCTTGTTTGTTCTCTTGGCACCTGGGAGTGCTGGGGGGGGCGACAGGGAGAATGTGGCCCTGAGTTATGTGTACGCCAACTCAGGGTGTGTGGCAGCCAGCTGGCTGTGTGTCTTGTGAGCCTGTTTGTGTCTGTGTGTCGCTCGTGCGTGTCGTCATCATCTGTCCCGCGTCCACCCATACCGCGTTGGTGTCCAGTCCGAGCCTGACTGTTGTTCATCTTTCTACATACATAATTCTGCAAAAACCTGGCCGGCCCCTGCTTTGCCCCTACCTACCTACCTACCTACCTACCTTACTTATGGGAAACTAAAAAAGAAATCACGCGATGGGTGAAGGTGGGGTACTATACCAACTAGAGTGATGGTTGGGGAGAGAGAGATTTTTATTAACCAACAAGAAAGACTCTCACAGATGGTTGGTGGTTGGTGGTACTCTCCTGCAACCACAGTCCTTCTTGTGACATGGCAGGCCACTCTCAAGCCCTACAAGCATCAGATCATCTCTCTCTCTCTGTGAGTGTTAGAGTTGTTTGGTATTGCTAAAAATCTCAAACAACAAAAACGTGTGAGTGTTAGAGTTGTTTGGTATTGCTAAAAATCTCTCTCCCCCATTTGGGGAGGGTTGTGTGATTTGGGCTCGGCAGCTTGTTAGCCCTCAGCCGAAGCTGGGGCCTTCTTTCGAGGGTTGACATCGTGATTTCACCGAAAAGTTCTTTTTCTGAAAATTCCAGCTTGAAGAGCGGGAAAACCCCGACGGGAGGGCCCAGACCTACCCTACCTACCCCGGCATGAGGCCCGCCGAAGCAGAATAACACAGAAGAAAAAGAAAGACGACCGGCTCGGCACTTCTGCGCTGGCATGTTCCGCTCGAACGTGTGTCGGTCATCGTCATAGCCATCTAGCGCGATGTTTTCGCTCCTCCTCGTTGCGCTTGCGGCAAAGCGGCGGTGGGACGACAGCGACGTGGCGCAGGGTCGGGGCGGTGCTGCGAGAGGCCCGCGCGTGGCGGTCGTGCTCGCCGGCCCCGCCCGCACCCTCGCGACCCGCTCGGTGGTGCGCGGCCTCAAGAGGCACGTTCTCAGCTCGAGCCTGTATGATGCGACGCTCTTTGCGGCGCTCACGCTCGACGCTCCGCTGCCTGACGTCCCTCTGTCCGGCTACAACGCCTCCCTCCTTCGAGCGCTCTCCGCCCAGTCGCTCGTCGACCGAGCGCTCGGCTTCCTCGCGCCCCGCGCCTTGGCCTTCTTCAACGCGTCGGACGCCGTCGCCTCGATCGGCCGGCGAGCATGCAGCGGGATCCCAACGCCGCCGACCGCCTTGCGAGGCGCTGCCTCGCCGCCGAGGACCGGACTTTAGGGCCCCACCGGAGGCGTCCCGGTGCCTTCCTGCAGGCCCGCTCGCCACCAAGCACGAGTGGGTGGTCGAGCTGTACGCTGCGCAGCTCGGCTTCTCGCTCCTCCGCACCGACGAGATGGCCTCCGGCCTCCGGTGCCGCCCTCCCTCCACACACCACACACCCGCGCACGCACACACAGACACTCGCGCGCACACACACCACCGCCACCGCCACCGCCGCCGCCTCCGCCGCCGCCCTCGTCGGACGCGCACCGCAACAGTGACATCCTCCAGCGCCGACCGCAACAGGGCCGTGCGGTACTCCCGCCGCTCCACCCGCAGCGCAGTCGCGCGAGGGCCACTGAGCCGTGGCCGCTGCCGCCGCGCCGCAGGTACATGTTCGTGCTGCGGCTCCGCCCCGACCTGCTGTTCCGAGGCCCGCTCTTCTCCGCCGTCCAGCCCGCCCCGAACGTCTCGGTCACCTTTTCGGACTCCTCCGCCCCCATCCTCCTCTCGGAGCACACGGTGGGCCAAGCAGAGATGCAGCCGAGATGCAGCAGAGATGCAGCAGAGATGCAGCAGAGAGGGAGCCGAGATGCAGCAGAGAGGGAGCCGAGATGCAGCAGAGAGGGAGCCGAGATGCAGCCGAGATGCAGCCGAGGCGTCCCGCCACCTGTGCTCAACCACCCATCCCGACCACTCGTGCCCTGCACCCATGCACGCTAGGTCGCGGCGCCGCCGGACCGCGCCTCGGACTTCGCCGTCCTCGGCGCGCATGCGGCGCCCGCCTACTTCAACGCCTTCGGCGCCGCGGCATCGTGCGCGCTCGCGCCGCCCTTCGCCCCCGCGGGCTGCCACTCGGCAGCCAGCGTCGGCGCTTGCTTGGCGGCCGCTCCGCCGGCGCCGCGGCGCCCTGTCGGGGCGCTCCAGAAGCCGTCTCCTCCCTCGTGCACAGGTGGCTGCGCAGATGGCGCTGCACGCCGCGAAGGTCGCCACGGCGCCGCCCGTCGCCGTCCCGGCCGCCGCTTGCCTCGTCAACATCAGCGGATCCGGCTGCACCGGCGGGGCGTGGGGCGCTAGCGAGGCTTGCGCCGTCGTGCCCGTGCCGCCGCCGCGCGAGCTGCGCGCCGGCGCTTGCGTGACGCACCGCGACGTGCTGCGCGTCGCCGCCGGCGCCGCCTCCCGACCCGCTCGCGACGAACGAAAGCAAGTCCCTCAAACCCACCCATGGTGCTCAGCAGGCGCCGCCTCCGACCCGCTCGCAGACGTCGCAGACGCGGAGGCCGCCGCCGCTGCTGCGGCCGGCGGCGGCGTGATCGCTCGCGTGCTGCTCGCTGCCGCCGCGGTGGTTCTTCTCTGGCCTCCCCTCCGCCACCGCGCCGCCACGAGATTGCTCGCCGCGGGCGCCGCCGCCCGCGAGGCGGCGGCGCCGTTGCGCGAGGCCGCCGCGCCGCTGCTCGACGCCGCCGCCCCCGCGACCGCCGCGGCTGCAGCGGCCGCGGCGCCTTGGGCGAGGTTTGCGGCGCCGCATGTCGCTTCTGCGGACGCCAGCTTCCGGCGAGGTCTATCGGCGATGGACGAGTCCGTCGTGGGCGCGGCGGCGGCGGCGAGGCTCGCCGTCGCCCGCGCCGTCGCGGCGCTGCCGCTGGAAGAGTACGCGCCGTGGGCGGCGCAGGCGGCGCGCAAGTCTGGCTTCGGTTTGGAGGAGGGCGAGTACGCGCCGCTAGATGCGGGGCACGCGGATCCGTGGCGCACCAACTAGCGCCCCCGGGCTGCGCGCTGGTCCTTCACTCACACGCTCCAGTCTTGGGCAGCCTTGGTGCTCACGCGATGCTCCCCGCACAGTACACGAGGCTGTCTGCGCACCCCGTAGGTACGCGTCGTTGCGCACGGGTGAGGAGTCCGCCGCTGACACGCCAAAGAGCGAGGGCGGGTCGCTCGCGCCGAGCGACTTTGCCTTCAACGACAAGAGCTAGGTACTCTTTGGCCCCAGGCGGCGGGTCGCTTTGGTGAGAGGAGGAGCCGAACGCGCGGGGCGCAGGGGGGGCAGTCCGTGCAACCATTATGGTGCGAAATCTTGTGCAGAGGCCACAGCCTCAGGGTACCCTATGAGGTGGCTAAGTGAGGGTCTCTGGGACCCACCCAAATAGTGTTTTTCAACTAACGGAGGCCTTTGGGGGCGACCCGGGGGCACCTCGGGGTCGCAGTAGCCCCTGACGGTCGAAACCGGACCGCGACGCCCGGGCCGGTCTGCCTCTGCGGTCACCCGCGCCGCGCGCGCGCCCGCGCCCGCGCGCGCGCCTCGGTTACGCGAACCGAACCACGTTCGTGCGGTGGAGGAGTGGTCCTTGATTGTCGTACATGTGTGTTTGCGTGTGCGTCGCTGTGGTGTCCCTGAACGACGCTGCCCCTGTGAGGCGGCGGGCACCGGGCTCGTGCACTAAGTTTTGTCTCCAGGGGGCCACTGTGGCGCACTGGTTGGTGACTCCACACGTCCACACACCACAGTCCACTAGACGCACTCGGGCACTATCCACTAAAGAGTTATTGTGCCCATGGGATAGTTCAGTTATGAGGCCGCGATCCGCGAACAACCTCTGTAAAGGTCTTCGCTGTGCATTACCCCACTCCTTCTTTGCCTGTGCGCCGCCGTTTGTTTCGCTCTGTCGTCTGTCTGTGCGCTCCTGTTTTCGTTCGCTCTGCGGCGGCGCATCTGTGCTGCGCATTTGTGTTGCGCTTCTGTGCAACTAGACGCCCAATAATGGTCGCGGACGGGCGCGCTGAACGCGAAGGCCGAAGCGCGATCTCCGAATACGCTGTTACACCGTGTGCACTGCCCTGTCTCTGTACTCTGAGATATGTCTTGTACCGTCCAACGTGAAGTGTGCGGCCGCTATTGCGGAGTCAAACTTGTTACATGTATAGAAGGAAACACGGCCGGTCCTGCGTCCTCGTCCTGGGACCGTGACGAACCATGTAGCACGTTTCGTCCGCCTGGCCCCCCCACAACGGCGGCGGGCTTGGAGCTCGCTCTAGCGAGCCGGTCGTCTCCGCCCTCTCGTCTGCCCCTCTGCGCTGCCCCCCTCGCCGCGCCGCTGCCGCGTCGCCATTGTCCGTGTCCTTGTACATGCTCAAGCCCGACCGAGGCCCGCTAGAAGAGGGCGTCTGCAGGCGGCCAGCAGAAAGATGCCGGCGCGCATGCCATAGCTCAAGGCAAGCCCGAGCGCCCCTACGCGAGAGAGCGGTCCGAGAGCGCGGTGAGAGAGCGGGGCCGGGAGGGGAGGGGGGGGGGGGGGCTTCCGTCGCAGGGCGGCGCGCCAGCTCGGAGATGCTCTGAGGCTCAGCGCCCGTCCGACCAGCCGGGCGTGTTGGGCAGGAGCAGGACGGGCTCCTTTCCGCCGATCGAGTTGGTGAGCAGCGTGAGGGCGATGAAGGTCATGTGCAGGAAGATGAGCGAGAAGCCGAGCTTCTTGGTGAGCTGCCACCGCGAGACGATGAAGGCGATGAGCAGGAAGCACGAGTAGACGAGCACAATCATGATGGGGAACCAGAGGTTGCCCTTCAGCGCGTTCGCCTCGTAGGGGCCTTCGGCGATGTTCCAGAGCATCCACGAGAAGCCAAGGCAGACGAAGATCTGTGAACGGGGGGGGGGGGGTGCAAGGTGGCAAGGTGGGGGCGCGCGCAAGGGGTTTGGGGGGGGGGGGGTCCGCACGTTAAAGATGTTTGAGCCGAGCACGTTTGCAATGGCCATGTCGCCCTCGCCCTTGCGCGCGACGATGATGGAGGAGAGCGAGTCGGGGACGGAGGTGCCGGAGGAGAGCACGATGGTGCCCATCACGATGCCCGGGATGTTGAGGATGCAGCCGACGCGCGTGGTGAAGATGAGCACGCACCTGGGGTGGGGTGCGGGGGGGGGGGGGGGGTGAGGGCTTGCGGTGGGGAGGCGGGGTGGGTGGAGGGAAGTGGAAAAGGGTGTGGCGAGGGGGTTGGCGGGAGGAGGGTGGTGGTGGTGAGGGGGGAAGGGGTGCGAGGTGGTGTGTGTGTGGGTGTGTGGGTGTGTGCAAAGTCCGGCCGGCGGTGCGGCGGCAGCGCACGTGATGAGGACGCAGATCCAGGCGACCGACACGACGAAGTTCCCCATGAACCAGTACTTGCACTTGTCGCGCATCGACTCCGGCATCGACAGCTTGAAGGCGGTGGTGAGCGGCCACGAGAAGGCCTTTTGGACCTTGGCGATGCACTTGTAGGCGGACGTGTTCTTGCGGAAGGCAACAAACGACTTGGAGTTGCGCAGCGTGAAGGAGAGGGTCCGGATGAAGGAGGGCTTGGCGCTGCTGGCCGGCGAGGCCGCGGGCGCGGCCGAAGCGGCGGAGGACTTGTCCGCGCCCTCGGCGTTCGCGTCGTACGCCGTGGGGGTGAAGCCGACACCGCCCTCCTTGGGCTTGGGCTGGCCGGCCTGCGCGACACAAAAGGGGGGGGGGGGTTAAAGGACGGAGGGGGCGAGGCGCGTGGGGCGGGGGCGAGGCGGCCGTGGGGGTAGGCGCGCGGCGGACCAGGCGACGCCGCGGGCGGGAGGGGGAGGGGGGGGGGGTGGACGGGAGTGCAGAGGGATGCGGCGAGAGGGGGGGGGGGCGGCACCTCGGCGTCGCCCTCCTCCTTGGCCGCCTTCTTGGCCTCCTTCTCCTCCGCCTCCTTGGCGCGGCGCTCGACGTCGGCGATGTAGTCGGCCGTCAGTGACTTGAGGAAGCCGCCGCGGCTGTACATGGCCCTTGCAATCTTGCGGTTCTTGGTCATCCAAAACACGTAGGACGCGTAGCCGATGAGGAGGAGGAGGGACTCGTACCAGAGAATCTTCTCGTCGAGGGCGAAGAGGAAGAGGAGGATGATGGAGAGGATGTAGAAGGAGAAGTCGCGCAGCACCGGGAACTTGGTGATGACGAGGGTCTGGAGGGAAGGGGGGGGGGGGGGGAGGTGAAGCCCAGGGAGAAGCCTTGGAGGACGCGGTGCGGAGATTGGGAGGGGAGGGAGAAGGGGAGGAGGGAGGGGGGGAAGGGGGGAAGGGGGGCGGAAAAGGGGGGGCTGAGGGGTGGAGGGGGGGGAAGCGAGGGGAGATGGGGGGAGGGCGGGAGGGCGGGGGGCGGGGGGTGGGGAAGGGGCGTTGTGTTGTGCTGTTGTGCAAAAGGAGGGCCCGAAAGGCGATCGCCTGGCCGGCAAAGATGCAAGTCAGGCCGACGATGGTCATCGAGTTGAAGACGGCGGCGCCGACGATGTCGCCGATGCCCTCGTCCGACTCGGTCACCATCGTGGCGATGATCACCGTGAAGAACTCGGGCGCCGACGACCCGACCGCCATGAAGGTTGCGCCGGCGACGTCCTCGGGAATCTTGAGCACCTCGACCACCTCCTCGATCGCCTCGACGAAGAAGTCGTCGCAGACGATGGCGATGCCGACGAAGCAGTAGAACCTGCGCGGGGGCGGGGGTGAGGGGGCGGGCGGAGGAGGGGCGGGGGCGGGGGGGCGCACATGATGAAGAGCCAGACGGCGACGCCGCCGCTCGTGTCAAAGTCGGTCAGGTCCCAGTAGAGGACCTGGCAAGAGTGGACCTTGTAGGGCGGCGCGGGCGGGCATGGCGGCGCGTTATCCGGCAAGCCCTTGCCGCCCTCCACCTCCGGGAAGCCGCCCTCCTCTGCCAGCTGGCGGTAGTGGTCGGGAGCCGGGGCGGAGTCCGAGTAGTTGTACAACGGGTTCATGTAGTGGCAGTCAAGCTTGAGCTTGCCCCCGGGTTTGCCCCAGCCGACGACGGGCCCGCCCCCTCCGAGACGGCGGCGATGAGGTGCGCCCTCCGAGGCGAGGTGCGCGTCCGACTCGCCGCCCAGGTAGGCGAAGGCCGCGAGGCCGCAGGCAGCCATCGCAAAGTAGGCGAGCTTGACGTAGCGGCGCACGTCGCGCTGCTCGTCGCTCATCGCGGAGAGCTTGCGGGAGATGGCCATGGCTGGGATCTGCGAGGGGGTGGGCGCGGGTGGGCGGGGCGGGCGGGGGCGGGCGGGCGGCTTGTGGGACCGAGCCTCCTGACCTGTGTCGTGCGACGGGCTTCTCAAACCAGATCACCTTGAGAAGGCGGTCGAACGCAGCACTAACGTGCGCTTTCCCAGGCGCCGTCCTGTTTTTTCCTTTTTAGAGTGTCTTGTGTGGGTGAGTCTCTCTGTGTGTGTCGCTCCAGCGTGTCGTCATCTTCTGTCTCGCGTCCACCCATACCGCGTTGGTGTCCAGTCCGAGCCAGGCTGTTCTTCGCCTTTGAAGACGGAAGAGAAGCGTGATTTCTTGCAACCCTTTTCCTGGCTCACAAGCTAAAGATGTTCACCTCAACACGGAGCCCCGAGAACTCTTTTAGCTGTACTCGTCTATAGAGGCGCGGGTTGGATTTCTTGCCTCTCTCCTTCCCCCTTTTCTGTTAATACCGACGCTGTCGGGGTCTCGGGGATCGCTTGTCATGTGAGAGAGTGCACCCATACCGCGTTGGTGTCCGGTCCGAGCCTGACCGTTCTTCACCTTTCTACCTCACCTAACCTAAGAGTGCGTTGTGTTCTTGTTTTTCGAGAGAGAGACAGAGAGAGAGGAGAGAGAGGGAGGGGGAGAGAGATGAGAGGTGAGAGTTTACTGTGATGCGTGTGTGTGGTCAAGCGCGCGACGCATCACTCGAGACACGAGATCTGAGGGCCCAGAGATAAAACTTCTGGGGCCAGCATGACCTAGTAGTGTCCCCAGCCATGGGGGCGTGTCCACGACCACGTTGGAGCCAGGTGTGGTGTGGGCGCGAGATAGGATCTGCGGCAACCCGCGCCCACAAGCACGGTGTGTGTATGCGAGTCGACTGGCGAGTGTCGTCATGGTTTCGTATGAACGAAGCCTGAATACTCTCACACACACACAAGCACGGTTTATACTCCGTCTTCCGCGCCGAGCTTTTATAGGGTCGGACCTTGAGACAGCGTGTGCATCCGGGGTGGAGCTTGCCAGCCCGCCTGCTGCTGCTCTGTCCCGGCGCCAAACACCGCCACGTCTCACATCACAAGTGGCGGGCGGTCTCGACTCTCGTCCGTTTACTTAATTACGGGTACTCTTTGTTTCGTGTTTACTACAGACCCAGTGGCAGTGCCACTGCCAGTCCCGCAGCGACACACTCTTCTTCACGAGGTCCAGCCCACACGCCACACCGTGTGGGCCACAGCGCGCCCCCCTGCTGCGACAAACGTCTTCGCCTTCGGCCGCGAGCCCGCGACTGGCAGTCACGGGAGAGACTGGGACTCCCGTGTCGTCCCGCCTGCGAGAGCGGAGAGGAGGATCGATCCAGCATGAGCATCCATCCACTGCACACGCACGGAACTCGGAAGTCGGAACAGCTCACCGCACACTGGGCCGTGCCCGTGGTGTGTCCTGTTGTGCGCACAGCCGACAAGAGAACGCAGACCACTGGACGCGGCCGGCTGCAGAGTCGTGAGACTCTCCTGGTAGATAGAGTTTTCCCGAGAGCTTCCCAAGCGCACGTGTGTGTGTGCGTGTGTGGCGTGTGCGGATGTCTGCGTACGGCTCTATGTGCCGAGCATATGTGTCCCCGAACCCATACTAGGACCTTGTAGCATATGGGCGCCTCTGTCGGGTTCGGTCTGTCGTCAGCGGCTCGCAAGAGGCCCAACCCTAATTGCGGCTGACAATGAGAGACACGTAATTCTCGCCACATATATCACGCACTGACGCTATCATTTTTGCCCTCTTACGCCGCGGGGTGACGCCTCAGTCCGGCCCTCCGAGGGGGGAAGGGAATTGCCGGGTCCCCACGGGCGCCTCAGTTCGCCTCAACTAAACTCCCTCTCACGTCACTGGGCACGGGACTGGCGCGCACTGGCACTAACACAGGTACACCACGGGAGCCTCCTTGAAGATACGACTGAGATACGGCGTTGGGGTCTCTCACTGCTGTCCTGGCTCCTGCTCGTAGTCCTCTCCTTCCTCACCGTTGCGGCCGCCTGGCCCATCGACGGATCCGCCAGCCTCAGCCTCCTCGCCCTCGCCCTCGTCCGCCTCTCGCAGCAGCGCATCGTTCATCTCATTCAGTATCCCGGCCGCCACTTGCTGCTCGCCTCTTTGGCGGAGCGTATATGTTTGCAGGCTCACCGTCTTCGTCGCAGAGGCTGTCGCGTCGAGGAGAAGGCTGACGGCGGCGCGGAGTGGTGGTCGGCTCTCGGCTGCCGCCTCCGCCGCTCTCTATGCTTCTCCCTCGCCGCCACGACGGCGGCGCGTCCGCCTCTCTCTAGGCTTCTCCCTCGCCGCCTCGACGGCGGAGCGGAGTGGTGGTCGGCTCTCGGCCGTGCCTCCGCCTCTCCCTAGGCTTTTCCCTCGCCTCCTCGTCGGCGGCGCGGAGTGGTGGCCGGCTCTCGGCTGCCGCCTCCGCCTCTCTCTAGGCTTCTCCCTCGCCGCCACGACGGCGGCGCGGAGTGACGGTCGGCTCTCGGCTGTCGCCTCCGCCTCTCTCTAGGCTTCTCCGTCGCCGCCTCGACGGCGGCGCGGAGTGGTGGCCGGCTCTCGGCTCCTGCCTCCGCCTTTCTCTAGGCTTCTCCCTCGCCGCCTCGACGGCGGTGTGGGGTGGTGCTTTCTCCCTCGCCGCCTTGACGGTGGTGGCTCGATTCCCGGCGGCCTCTGGACGCTCGGCGACCGGCCTCACCCCTCTCGTGATTTGGCTGTCGCCTCTGTGGCTCCATGCCACGGCCAGTTGCCCCTTCTGTGGGGTTCATTGGGCTTTCCGGGCCACCTGCCCTCGCTCCTCCTCCACTGCGCGTTGGGATGTCAGGGATACTGCGTAGCCCTTCCTGGTGGAGGCGCGCGCGATTCCGTGACTCTCCTTTTACGCGCCAATGTACCCTCACCGAAGGTGCATAGGAGTGAATCCGAGTGAAACTAGTCCGCCGATAACGATTGGGGTAGGGGCCCTAACTCGTGATAGGCCACTAGTTTCCCGCAGGAGACTCACCCTCTCCTCTCCTACCTCTTCTTCTGCCTCTGCGTCCTTCACGGACTCTCCGTGGACATCTTTTACTTCATCTTTTACGGAAGTTTGAACTTCCGTGCGTGTCGGGCGCTCCCGCCCGCTCGCTGCTCTGATGAGCGCGGCTTCCGCTGCTCTCTCCTGCTCACCTGGCCATGACGCCGCTCCTCGTCCTTGGCCGCGCCAGGCTCTCCTTCCTACTGCGCCAGCCCTTCGGCTGCATCAGTTCTTTCTTCTCCCCACCCACCCTATCCTGCCTACTCTCTGGTGGCTTTGGGGTGTGGTTCTCTCTATCTGGTCCGAGGTGCGATCCCTTACGGCGCCGCGGGCGGCTACAGGACGTTGAGGTCCCCTCCGTACCTGTAGCAACCCAAGCCGTTTGAGTCCCAACCCTCCGCCTTCAGTGGCAGGATCCCAGGGGATGTCAGGGATACTGCGTAGCCCTTCCTGGTGGAGGCGCGCGCGATTCCGTGACTCTCCTTTTACGCGCCAATGTACCCTCACCGAAGGTGCATAGGAGTGAATCCGAGTGAAACTAGTCCCACGCTGAGGATCATATAGGCCTGAGAGGGATGGGTGCCCAAGCACCGATTGCCGTGATTTTTTTTGACGGTATCGCTCACCTTGCGCACTGGCACTGTACAGAAGAATGAAAAGACGTGCGTCATAGCTACATACACTGAAAAATGGGAGGGAGAGCCACATACATCAAAACAAGTATTGCTAAAAATCTCTCTCCTCATAGGACAAACAACAAAAACAAGTACTACACCGTCCGCGGCGGCTACCTGACTGAGTTCTACCCCAAGAGCGTCCCGCTCCCCGAGCCCGAGTCCCTTCCAGCTACCGACGCGATTCTCAATGGCACTTGCAAATCCACGTACCCGCGGCCGCGGGCGCTCGCTGCCATCAAGAATCACAAGGACTGGTACGCGCACCAGGAGCTCGTCAAGGCGCGGGATGTGCACGTCAAGAACAACCCGTCCCTCGGAGACAGCGCCGTCAACAACCGCGAAGCCGCGCGCCTCGTCTCCGCCTCAACGCCTTTCGCCGGCAAGGCCTTCGATGTCCGTGTCGACGGTACGTACGCCACCGCCCTCTCCTCGGACATCCTCCAGGACGAGCTCCAGCGGAAGCTCGGCCTTTGGCTCTCCGCGGCGCTTCCCACCCTACGGGTCGCGCTCGAGCGGGGCATGCCAGTCGATTTCTTCGGCGACTACCTTTACAACAAGGCCCACCACCGGCGGCCCCACGACGGCGTCCTCGCCGCCTGGGCGGACGCGATGCGCGCCCCGGCCAACGCGCCGGTCGTGCACGGTGACAAGGAGAAACCAGAGCTCACCCGGCAGTACAATGAGGGGTACAAGACTGACCTCGCAGAACCCCATGCGGGACCGGGAGGATGTGATGACGTGAATGAAATCAAGCTCTGGACGCCCCTCCTCAAGACCTCCTCGCCGGGCGTTGGCAACGCCTCGAGTGGCGGCACGCCCGCCTCCGTTGGCCACTCCTACGCCTTCGGCAACACCGAGGAGAAGGCCCGCCGCCTGAACATGGGCTGCAAGGCGCGCGGGCAGCCCAGCCAACCCTTCTCCCACAAGACCGGCCACGGCTACGTCAAGGCGCATCGCGGTTTCTACCACGACGCGATCTTTGTCAAGCGCAACAACTTCAACCTGCTGCTCCACGAGACGTTCGGCGGCGGCTTCTCGCCCACCGCCGTTCTCAAGCTGCGCCGCCTCGCGCGCAAAGTCGCGCGCGGCAGCGTTGACCGCACGGCCTACTCGCCCAAGTACTCGCTCTCTTTTATGTCCCACCATGCAGAGCGCATCTCTCTCTCTGTTGTGCGAGGCGTGAACCGCGCCATTCGCTCTCACCTGGCAACCCTGTCTGCACGTCTCGCGCGCGCGTGAACAGGGCTCCAGGCCCCAAGGTACGACCGCCGGCGGCCGCTGCA